GAAAGGGTCTAAGGAAGCAGAGCTTTGCTTTAAATGTGTAAGAAGGGGCAATTCTGTGACTTGCCATCTTAATAAATTTTACAGGGTTTGGAGACCTGAGCAGTAGAAACATGGTAATTGGTAAAGAAGTAGCAGTCACTGATTTCAACTGGAGAGGGGATATTTGATTTTTATTTTTGCAGTTGGTGGTGTTACTCAGTGAGCTTGTTTGACATGGATATTCTCTGAGATTATGTCTAAGAAACAATATGCTTTATTTGTAAACATCAAATTAGTTTTTAGTAACATTGAGGTTTAAGTGTAAGCCTCAAATTGTTTCTAAATGTTAGGGATTGTCCTTTCTTTCTTTCTTTCTTTCTTTCTTTCTTTCTTTCTTTCTTTCTTTCTTTCTTTCTTTCTTTCTTTCTTTCTTTCTTGGTTTCTATTTATGGCCAGTGGCAGACTAAGTTGGGCTATACGGCATTAATTCATGATGATCATATCTTCACTATAGCTGAGATATTGTTATGATTAAAGGCATATTCATAGTTTGTAGTTGATGTGGACTTAATCTTTTCTCATTCTAGTATTAAGTGTTTGAACCATCTAATATTACAGTGACTGCACAGTAACATTCTTTCAGGAAGGAAACATGAGCGGTCTGTAGCACCAGGTCTTATGGTTTTCTTCCTTCTGTCTTATTAGCCCATTCCTTACTATACTATTTAATCCATTTTGAAGAACTACTAATTTTACCTATGATCTCAAATAATGATCCTTATTTGTAGTAATTGTTCTCTATAAAGTGGCCAGAAACACTGAATTACTGAACCATTGCTACTAGGGGAATAACAGGGTTTGATTTTTGTGAGCCCCTGTTCACAGCATTTTGCTGAGTTAATTGCATCTTAATCTTATTTTGTGTATGCTTCTGCTTAAAGGTACTTTAATGTATATTATTGATTCATTAACATTGATCATACTGTCAGTAGCATATAAGCTCATACCTGAATGAAGCATATCTACCACATTTTTTTTCCAGAAGACATATCACAGCCTTCTTGCAGTTAGGAATGCTAGGTAGCACTTTAGAACTATGTATGGGTGCTGTATTAAACAGCAAAATTACTAGCAGAAAGTACAAATGTGAAAAGCATGGCACAGTATAGATTGAGAAGAAGATACTTTTATAGTATCTAGGATACTAGGAGGCAGAGTTTCTGCACCAGATTATGTGTTGGGTGACTCAACTACCACTGTGCACTTGTCTTTAAATGATTATGAAATGAGTAGTATTAATTTGGGGCTTACAAATAAAATTTAACAAATAGGCAAATTCGTACATGTAGCCTAAAATTTTTATTGATAACTAATTCAGGCTACCATAATTTCTTAAGACTGCAGCAGGAGTTCTTCTAACTGGCCCCCATTTAGTCTGGCTGTATAAAGATTAATTTTTCTCCAAAGTGTTGTCCCAAGTAGTAACTAGAGTAGTGGTTATGAAAGACAAATTAATTATTCCACTTAATTCCCATCTCTGTCCCATGTGCCATACTGTAGCTTCCCATATCTCTTACAATAAATACTAAAATCATGATATGATCTACAGATCTCTTTAATTCCTGTGCCTTTCTTACTTGGTACCAATTTTTCCCCTTCCCACTCCTGAATACCTTTGCCTACTCTTGGGATGTTAGTCTTCCTTGAAAAATGATCCCCACTTCAGTCTATGTTCAGTTATTTTGTTATACCATTGTGTTTTCTTGGTGACACATTTCTTTCATTTAGAGCATTTATCTCAGTTCATAATTATCTTAGGTACTTACTCATATGTGAAATTTTAAAAAATTAATATACTTCTTACTAGACTAATGTAAGCTCCAAAACAGCAGAAATTGTGTCTGCTTTGGCAAGCCCTTGTATCCACAGCAGCCAGTACAGTACCTCATATGTAGTAGATTCTCATTATGTACCGAATGACTATATAAGACCATTTCCAGCTTGACCTCAGTCTACATTTCCATTGTATTCCTGTTAGATTTCTTTCTTTCTTTCTTTCTTTCTTTCTTTTTTTTTTTTTTTTTGGTACAGGGGATCAAACTCAGATCCTTGTGCTGTGAGGCAGGTGCTGGAACCACTGAGCTAAATCCCTGGTCCAGATTTTTTCTTTTTTTGCTACCAGCGATCAAACTTGGAACCTCGTACTTGCGAGGCAGGCAGCGGCGCCACTGAGCTAAATTCCCAGCCCTAAACAGGCAGTTTTTTGATGTCATCATTTTCTTTTTTTTGTATGTGCGGGGGATCGAACTCGGGACCTTGCGCTTGTGAGGCAGGCGCCAGAACCACTAAGCTAAATCCCTGGGCCGATGTCATCATTTTCATATGCTCTTAGGTATTCAAAATTTGTAACAATGTTATTTATTTCCCTGTTTGTCCCACTAGATAGGTAAGAGGAAGAGACCAAGTCTGCATGTATATCATCTCAGCCCTTAGAACCATACATAAAACAGTAATGTGTATTTAAGAACCATTTCCCAGTTAGCTTTTAACCACTAGGGACAACTCTCAAACTGGTCAGACAACTTCTAGATCAGTGGAAGTATTCCCAGACCTTTCTGGTTTCAGGATCGCTAGTGAGAAGTAAGTCAAATTACAATATCTCAGTCCAGGTTTTCTGATAATTAAAAATAGTATCACTAGTTTTGCTAGTGCTCATTTTGACTTTTTTTTTGAACTTTTTTTTTTCTCGTACCATGGATCGAACTCAGGGCCTCATGCTTGCTTACAAGGCAGGCATGGCGCCACTGAGCTAAATCCCTGACCCCTCATTTCAACTTCTTAAAAAAAGATATTTAACCATGAATCAAAGATTTCTGAAAGTCAGTAGACTTTATTACAATATAAACTCTTTCGGGGGGCCAAGGCTTATTTACCTTTTTTTTTCCTGTCCTTAGCTCTTAGTATGGGCTTTGTAACATAATAGAAAGTGCATAAATAAGTGATGAATGAATGAATACATCTGTGTACTAGTAGAGCCAACTCAACCATAAATCAGCTTTTTATTTGGGATTATCTGCTTTTGTACTTAAATTGATAACACTTTGTTATTTTATTTTATTTTATTTTTTTGGTACCGAGGATCGAACTCGGGTGCTTGCGCTTGCGCAGCAGGAGGCAAAACCACTGAGCTAAATCCCTGCCCTGATAACACTTTGTTCTTTTGAGGCAGATGACTGGCATTGTAAAGGCCCATAGGGGTTATAATAACTGTAGTTATTTAATGTATTTATGTAAAATGGTTAAGATATCTTCAGTACTTTGTGTTAAAGTGCCTTACTAAATGTGTTAGCAGTTTTTTCTACTTTAGAATATTAATAAAATTTATGTAGTTTTGATTTTTGTCATTTTTTATAATGGGCAGGAGCTTCCAGTTAGAATTGTCACATTTTGAAAGTATATGCCGGGCCGGGAGTTTAGCTCAGTGGTTTCACCGCCGGCTGCGCAAGCGCAAGGACCCGAGTTTGATCCCCGGTACCCCAAAAAATAAAAATAAATAAAATAAAGTATATGCCTAATTTATATCTTATTGTCCCAATATGAATATAAGCTTTTCTTTATAAGCAGTTTTACAGAACTATATGCTGTATTGAACAACATGCTTCCCTAAGTTTTAAAACTATGACAAATCTGTGTTAAGTGAAATCTTAGTTATTGGAATTATCTTAAAATAATCAATTGCTAATTTGTTCTAATCTTTATCATGTAATTTATTGCCCGTATTACTAGACTATCTTCAAAGTTGTTTAAATTCTAATAGATGTTAGTAAGCTGTATTTGTTAATTTAAACATACTTACCTTAAATATTATCTTGTCTTTCTGGAGTTTTTGTTTTGTTTCATTTTTTAGAATTTTTAGGTGACCAGTGAATAGTACTTGTATATGGTATTTATAGTATATTAACTTATAGAATATGAAACATGAAATACTAGCTTTTTACTGAAGCTGGATCTAGTTAGATGGTAAGTAGATATTTTAATTGTATTCTTTTCATGGATATAGATGGAGCCAAGAATTATGAGAAAAGTTCATTTGACTTTAAAGCAACCTTAGGGTTTTGAGTATGATTGCTTCAAATGCTGAGAAATTAATTTAACCTAATAAATTGTCTGGTAATATATATGAGAAAAAAATCCATGACTATTTTCCTTAACCTGTCACTAAACCTGAGATTATGTGATTGATTAGTTTGAATTGTTTTAGGCTTGTTAAACCTTCCTTTGGCTTTTGTTCTTAAGGGGAGGGAAACAGATGTCGGGTCAGGCAACTTTGTAGAGTAACTGCTTCACCTTTTTGAAAATAAACCTGTACCTATTGACAAGAGTTGGGGTAGGAAAGGAATTAGTATTGGAAATTTTCAATATAGTAATTTGTAATATGTGACTCCTGGTGCAACATACAAAAATATCATACAAGGAAAGTGTTCTTAATGTTTGTGGTTAAGGACTTCCCAGAGAAAATCCTACACAATGAAAAGAAAATCTTTTTATTACCCCTCAAAGGAGCAATACAATTAATTGGAATGAACAAGCACTCATTATAGGTCCTGTTAGTAAATCTGAAATCAAGACTATGGTGGGAAAGATAATTTTGGATAATGTTAGTTACCTATGATATCCTGTGGTAATAAAGGAGCATATTAGCACTTTTGAAATTTCTATCTGAAAACAGTGAATTTTAAGTATATGTTGTTATCTTGTTCTTTGGTAGTTTGAATTTATGAGCAGTTAAAAGTAGATAAAATTTTTTTTTTTTTCTTTTGGTACCGGGGATCGAACTCTGATCCTTGCGCTTGCAAGGCAGGCTGTGGAACCACTGAGCTAAATCCCCAGCAAAAGTAGATGAAATTTTGTAATAAAATGTACTGCATTCCTCTTGAGTAAATGCTATAGCATTGGGATCTGAAAAGTTAATTTATTAAAACTTCAAATTTTTGAATTAACAAATTTTAATTTTTTAATAGGTTTATGGCTACAAATGATTTGATGACAGAACTGCAGAAAGATTCCATCAAGTTGGATGATGATAGTGAAAGAAAAGTAGTGAAAATGATTTTGAAGTTACTGGAAGATAAAAATGGTGAGGTACAGAATTTAGCTGTCAAATGGTGAGTTATATTAATTGTATTCCCCCTCACCCTCAGTTTAAAAAAATTGATAGGCAGTTATCTTAGATATTGTACTATCTTTCTGGAGTTTTTGTTTTGTTTCGTTTGTTTTCAATGTGTAGGTGACTAGTGAATATTTAGTACTTGTATATGGTACATACAGTATATTAACTTATAGAATATAAAATAATGTGCCCTTTACAGTATTTCTTTGAGCTCTTATGAAATATATATAGGGCACTCCAGAAATTATGATTCTCTCACTTGCTTTATATCAGCTTGATTTGTCAGTTGGGTTGAAAGGCCTACTTGCCTTTTATCTTTATATTCCAATGGGGGATAAAATTTAAAAGTAAAATGTTCAAGGAAAAGAAAAACTAATAAGCCCTTAACAAAGAATGGCAGCAGTTAAAACATTGATGATACCATGGTTAGAAAGAATCTTTCATGAAAGTTCTAATTGTGTTTGGCAGTGCAGTAGAGCTAGGAGCTTCTTTCACAGTTGGGTTTCTTAGCAGGGTGGAGAAAATGAATTTTCAGTAATTCTCTTAATATACTTGTTTAATTTATGAGGACCAAACTTTAGAAGTGAGTTAATACTAAATATAACATTTAGTTTCATTCTTAAACAGTGGAATTATTTTATATATCATATTAATTATATTTAGTATCAATTTAAATAAAACATGCTCCCATTATTACTCCTTTATTGGATTCTTAACAAAGGTTTCAAATTCATTTTAGGCTAAAGTTTTTCATATCTGCTTGTAAAGACAGGCAAAAGTGCGGAATCTTCAGTTAACAATTTATAAACATGCAATACAAATTTCTTTAACTTGGGACATTTAAAAATTTAAAATAAAATAGACTTTCAAAAAATATTAAGTTGTAGAATAATACAAATGAACCAGTAATTTTACTTTAATTTTTTTGTCTTATAATGTTTGCCACACACCTAATAAAATTAAGCTTTGTCCAAAATAATGTACTGAACAATTAAAGAGATTGGGAAAGAAACTGTGTATATATTCAAGACAGTAAAGAAATTAAGATATAAACAAATATATTAGGAGAGAAAATCATAATAATGGCTAAATGATCAACGTACTGATTTTTGAAGGTAGAAAAATCCTAGTAGATAAATTACTAAGCAATCTTAATCAAGAAATTGGCAAACTGTCTTAAGAATTTGCCACCCAAAATAAAGGTGCAAAAATCTTGTATTTGAAACCTTAAAGAACAGATAACCCCAGTACAGATAGTTCTAATAGTGTTCCAGAACGTAGAATAAGTCTGAAAATGTTCCAGATTTTTTTAAGCCAGTTATGCGTAATAAAATCAGATTATAGATAACAATGAAAAGGGGAAACTAAAGCCCAGTTCCATTAAAATTTTAAAAATAAAATGCAGCACTATATTAAGAGTCACATACCATGAGCAAATGAGATTTCCAGAATATAAGATAATACCATATTATGTTTTAGTTTTTTGTAATGAATTAGAAGATAAAATAGAAGTAAATACTGATTTTTAATAGCATCAGAAAAACATAATATGTAGGAAGAAATGTTACAGTGGCCACCTTGAATGAGGATGTTACATAAGATGAGATTACATTTTTAACTTTTTCAAAACTTATGAGAGAAAAAGTTTAAAATATTCTCAGAAATGTATTTGAGGAAATGGAAAGACATCCCATGTCCTTGAGATAGGATACCTCATCATAAAGTTGTCATTTATTTCCATGTTAATTTAATTCTAACCTAAATTAAGTTAGATGGATTGATTCTACTTTTAATTTAATTTAATTTTTGAGATAGGGTTTTGTAGTTCAGTCTAGCATGGAACCCACTGTATAACTGAGCCTGGTCTCAAACTCACAGTGAGCCCCCTTGCCTCAGTCTCCCGAATGCTCGTATTAAAAATGTGTGCCACCACAACTGGCTGACAAATTGATTTTAACATGTTTCCGCCGCGGCATGGGACAGTCCCATTGAGAGGTACAAGCCACCTGCTGGGGCAGTCATGCATGTACAGCCCCATCATAGACGTGTTAAAGTATGTTGGAGTTGCTGAGGATAGCTGAGAAAACCCTGAAAAAGTAGGACAGTTGATGGAGCTGGAAGGGTGTATATTAGCCCCATGTTTCTAAATAAAGCAGTTAGGTAGTGTGGTATTAATGGACCAATGTAGTAAAGTACAGTGTGAAGCTATGTTAAGGTGGCATCATTGGGGAAGGGAAGATGGACCTTTTACAAAAACCATGGACCTTTTACAAAAACCGTTTGAAAAGGTGGAATTTGTATCCTTAATACATCTTCAAGCAAGGCCACTATTCATTTTTTGTTCACCATTTAATTAGCTTTGTTAATAAAATTTCATATAAATGGAATCATGTAATATATGCTGTTTTATGTCTGCGTTTTGTTCTTTGTAACATCTGTGAAATTCATCCACGTTGTGTATATTAATAATTTATGCCTTTTATTAATGATTAAATAGTTCAGTGACTAAATAGTTCACTGATATAATTTGATTATTCAGTTCACTTCCAGGGGTTGGCTATTACAAATAAATGAACATTCTTTTAAGACACAGGGCTTTCTTTTTACTAATAGATACCTAAGAATGAAATTTCTGTTCATTTAACTTTTTAAGATACATCCAAATTGTTTCCTAGAGTGTATGTACCATTTTCCTGAAATATCTCCCAATTTGATGAGCTTAAGTATTTAATTTTGGGTTAAAATGAACTTAGTTTGATTTAATCTGTAAATTAAAATTTTTCTTTTGTGGTTTTCTGAGTCCTAAGAAATCTTTGTTTACAAAGATTTTCTCCTAGCAATCGTTATAATTTTAGCTTTTACTTTTAGTTTTATGATTATTTTGAATTAATTTTTGTGGAAGGTCTGGAGTAAAATTGTTTGTTTTAATGTGAATATCCAGTTGTTGCAGCATCATTTATAGAAAAGACCTTCCTTTTTCTTTTCTTTCTTTTCTTTTTTTTTGGGGGGGGGTACCGGGGATCCCACTCAGGACCTTGTGCTTACAAGGCAGGCAGCGGAACCACTGAGCTAAACCCCCTGCCGGAGACCTTCCTTTTTCTGCTAAATTACCTGGGCAACTTTGCCAAAAAATCAGTTGACTGTCTGTTTCTAGACTCTGTTTTGTTTCATTGATCTATGTCTTACCCAAGTACTGTCCTGTTTTATTAGTGTAGCTCAGGGATTTTCAACCTTGGCACTGCTAACTTCTTGGAACAGATTAAGTTTTTTGCTGTGGGAACTATCTCTGTATTGTGAGATGTTTAGTATTGTCCTTTGCTGTTTGCCAGTACCTCCTCCTAAAATATCAACAGGCAATTGCCAAATATCTGTTAGAGAGTAAAATTCAACCTCTGGTTGAGAAACTGTTGTAGATAGATAGTAAGTCTGAAGTTAGGTAAGCCTACACTCTCCAGCTGCATTCTTCCTTTCCCAAGAGTAATTTTTTTTAAAGGTCCTTTGTATTTCCATATACGTTTTAGAATCACTTTGTCAATTTCCATTTTTAAAAATAAGCTTGTTCAAGTTTTGGAATTGTATTGAAGCTATAGAAATATTTGAGAAGAATCTATATATATTTTCTCTGATGTTAATATAGCCAGTTGAGGTTTTTTAAAGATTAGTATGTGTGTGTAGAATATCATTTTTACTACTTCTCATTTTGTCTGTGTTAACTTTTAAATTATTTCTAGTAGACAGGTAGGTCTTACTTTTTTTGTTGTTGTTGTACCAGGGATCGAACTCAGGACCTTGCACTTGTGAGGCAGACGGTGGCACCACTGAGCTATAAATCCCTGGCCCCTGCTTTTTCTTAATTTGGTCATATAATTTCTGTTCTTTAATAGGAGTATTTAGTTCATTCACTTCAGTGTGCCTTTCATTCATTCTAGTCTCTGGTCTTTACAAGATCTTGTCTTTCCCACTTAAAGTGCTTTTTTTTCTAACCTAGAAGTGTGACTGTTAGTGTGTTACCTTTGTCCTGTGAAGGCTAACGTTAAATTTTAAAGTTTTATTTTAAGAAACTGCAAGGTAGTAAATGCCTTCTTTATTTCATAGATGAGTTTCTTGCCTCACTAACTAGGTAGTGAAAATTTGAAAAAGATAGCCATACCTCCTTTGTTTTTCAGTAATCTTGAATACAGTAGCTTCTTGATAAATAATTGCCAGTCTTAGCTACTACAGTGTATGCTGAAAAGTCTGTGGTAAAGACATAAAGGAAAGACTTTTCTTCATCTTCAAGGGGTGGTTCAACTAGCGGTCATAATGGAAACTGATAATAGTATAAAATAATTAACAAAAAAGGGTATGCGCACCATGCTTTGGGAGCATTACACAGTACCACTTGTTTTGATTGTTGTAACCAGTTACTTGAAGCTTTTAAAATTTAAACAGAAGGAACTTTGTTACATAAAGGACTCAAGGACATTAGAAATTCTTTTGGTTTCTGAGGTGGTTTTTATATTATATACCAAGGGAAGGTCAAAGTGACAAAGTGATATGGAAGTTCCATTGTAGGTAAACCTTGTTAACATTAGATGCCTAATTAGCCTTTTTATTAATAAAATTTTGTTTATTTTTAAGGCTGCATGGGGAAAAAAATTGGAAGCCAACTATGACATTTATCAGTCAAGAGTTTTATTTTACATCCTTATTTGCATACTTAGGATAGATGCATGGGTTGACAGTTGCTAGGCAGACAAATTAATATTTCCATTTACTTGTTTTCTGTTATTTATGTTTAAAAGAATTTAAAGACTTTTTCTTCTTTATGTTACAGTCTTGGCCCTTTAGTGAGTAAGGTGAAAGAATACCAAGTAGAGACAATTGTAGATACCCTCTGTACTAACATGCTTTCTGATAAAGAACAACTTCGAGATATTTCAAGTATTGGCCTTAAAACTGTAATTGGAGAACTTCCTCCAGCTTCCAGTGGTAAGCAACAGCATCTTTTCTTCTTTTCACGTGGAGGCATTTCTCTGCCATCACCCTCCCCCGGACCCCCTCCCCCCCCCCCCCCAGTAGTACCTGTCCTATAAAGTGTATAAGGTGTTAGTAGGAATCCCTTTAAATTTTTTAAAAAATTAAAATCTCAGGCGTTACTTTTTCTTAGAAATAAAGTTAGCGTTGAATTTGGTTTACTAGTAGCTTTAAGTAAAGCTAACCCTTTTATAAATACTTGGTTGTTTTAAAATTTAAAACGATAATGAATATGTTAGTTAATTACCCTTTGGCTCCTGACAGAAATGTCTAGGTAATGTAAGTTTTAGAATGGTCTTGACTACTAAGTAGTTGCTAAACTTAGCCATCTCAGAGTTACTCTCCCATCTGCAAACGAGATGCAATTATCTTTATATTTTAAGGAGAGATTTTGATTGGTAATAATGTCATCTGGATATATTGTTTTCATTAATTTACTCAACAAATATTAATATACTTGTTATGCTAAGTGCTGATTGTGTGTTCACTTAGTCTGAACATCAGCCCTATGAGAGAGATCTTAATATCCTCCTTAGTTTATAGATGGAGAAACTGAAATTCAAAGAGATTAAATTAATTCACCCAAAGTTTTGATTTCCTAATTGGATGGAGATTGAAATCTGTTATCTTATAATCCCAAACTGATATTTTTTCCATTGTATTATACCAGTTACTTTACCTATAAGTAGTCATTTAGTTGAAGTATTCCACCATTTCTAGTGTATTATAATTCATTAGCTATATTGATATTTTCTTCATTTTTTTCCCTCTCATTGGAACAATGTTGTTTTTAGCTGATTTCTGATTTTAACAAGAGTTCTTGTAACTGTATAGATAATTACTTTCACAGTTACTTGTTCCCTTTTACCACTCACTAACAACGTGACCTGCTTTAAAACATGAGTCCTAGAATTACATTTCTGCTTTATGATGAAATTTTGGAATCTCTGTTGTAAGGGACTATATTAAAAGTTACAGCTTTCTGTTTGTTTTCTTTTAAAGAAGGTGTTAAGCATAGGGTCACCGAATTGTGATTTTAATTCACAGATATGTCAAAGGATAGGTTAGTAGAAGAGAGGTCTCAAATAGTGAAAATTCTCATTGCTATTTTTCGGTGTACCAATATGATATATGCATTACGGGTACCACTAGCCCTGTGGCCACTGTTCAACAGTTATCTAGTGAATTCTGTTAAATCTGTTTTGTTTGCTCTATTTTATTTGCCCCTTCTATAGTTATTATCTAATTCTCATTTATGTTTAATAAGTTATTTTATTAAAAAAGCATCCATTTTTAAAATATATATTTTTGGGCATGGATCTTTTGAGTATCTTAGTCATGCTTAGAATAATTCAACATTTGATAACTACCATGGTTATAACGTAGAATTCAGCCATGAAAGTTTTTTTACTTTATTATTTGCACAGGTTCTGCATTGGCTGCAAATGTATGTAAAAAGATTACTGGACGTCTTACCAGTGCAATAGCAAAGCAAGAAGATGTCTCTGTTCAGCTAGAGGCCTTGGATATTATGGCTGATATGTTGAGCAGGTAAATGTGCTCGTTTTTTGCATTACTTGTAATACAAATACTATGTTGATTTATTAAAAATTTCTTCTGCTTAAAATAAAACTTGATCCAAAATTACTCATGTTTAAATTATTTTATAAATGTGTGGGGTTGAAGATGAGGGGAAACACACTAATTATACTTATGTAATACTGCATAGCAAATGTTATGTAGTTTGCAAAAGTACAGTAATACAATTTGTGATTTAAAATTTTTCAAAATGGTTTATATATTGATTTATATCCTTACATGCAGTGATCTACTTAGATAAGATGTGCTGATTGGAGTTGCAAATTTTCTAGTTAAGCAAATGCTAATTATAACCTTGGTATGTTTTGGGAGAAGATACCAGGAGCCATTCTACATAATTTTGGGGAAAAATAATTTCACAATTAAATTATGATTAGGCCTACTCTTCTTGTCTGTAGGCTGGCTATAATATGCCAAAACATAACTCCATTTTTCCCTCTGGTCACATCTGAGACCTCAGTGGTCCCACAATGCTGTGATACTCAAGGGCAAGATTACATCAGCTGAAGACATTCTGGTTCTTTGAGAACCACCTACTAAGAGAAAGATTTCATTTGGGAGGGACAGATTCCTTGTCAGCCTGACTCATCCCACCTACTGTTGTAAGAATGTCTTTGTTCATCTTACTGTCCTAATCAACTTAAAACTCCTCATCGACCTAAAGCTCCTCATGGTCATAGGATTACCACAACCCTCTGAGACATCTGATACTTCCTCTGATTATAAGATCCCCAGCTTCTTCTCTAAGTCTTGTTTCCTGTCTTTATTCTTTAATTCGCCTTGTGCTATTGTGACTCATGGGAGACCAGGACTCACTGCAGGGGTTCTGGTAACATCCCCTTTCCCTATACCCTACAAGGAGGAAGAAACTTGGTCTTCATCCATTTGTTCTTGTTCTACTTTTGTTTGGAAGTCAAACTTGGGGAAAATGGATAGACTTGAGCAACTCTTATGTGCAAATAACTTAAAGAACCCATCAGTTTCAGTTTATCCTTGATTCTATAGTTATCAGTTCTTCATTATTTGTGAATATGTTATTTGGCTAATTTAGTTCAATTTAAAAAGAATTGAGTACCTTCAGGTAGAAGAGAATGTGTATGTAGTGTATATAGAAACACATACAGTGAAGAGCTATCATCGTGACACCCCACAAAGAGCTTTTGCTTTACTATAGGAAACCATACACAAATATCTATAAAGGCAGAATGGGACTAAGGACTAACAAGTATATTCAAGGAAATTTTTTGTAGAAAGAGTGGCATTTGTTTGAGTTTGGAAGAATAGCACTTCAATAGGTAGATGAGCTCAGGTGCAGAATCCATTGGCCTAAGAAGAGTTGAAGTGGGAGACAATGTGTTCTAGTTTTCTAAATATAGAATGAATAGAAAAGTAGTAGAAAATCATTCTGATAGATTCAGTTCATGTTGAGATAGATGAGAATTTTTACTTAATTTGATGTCAGTAATAATCTACTCATGCAGTTTGATCCCTAGCACTGTTTTGGCACATTATAGATGTTTGAGTACTGCTGATTTATTGAACTGTACTTGTGAACTGTACATGTGAGGTGATCTAGAAGAGTAATTTTGAAATTTCGTATATAAGTATGTAGAGAAAAGACGAGAGGGAGAAGTCAAGAAATCCTGAGGTTCTGAGTGTTGGTGAATCCCCTAAAAAGCCATACTCAATAGAGAAAATTATGGAAGGAGAAAAGTGACAAGGTCTTTATATGTTTTTGTTTTGTTTGGTGCTTTCCCGAGCCAGTTGGTTAGATATCTGTAATAGAATATAGGTATGGATTCTAGGAGTTAGTTTGGGGCAATAAATTTAGAGCTGCATTTATTTAGCTTAGGTTTTCTGTTGCATTGGTAGAGATAGAATTCAGGTTTTTATTCATTCTGAATGTGGATTTGTCTCAACCATTTTATATCCTGCATATATTTACATTGAATTCAGGGGCCAGACATTTTAGTAAATGTTCAGATGCTTTAGTAATGCTTGAATTCATTTGTTGTTTTCTTTCTTTCTTTTCTTTAAGGCAAGGAGGACTTCTTGTTAATTTTCATCCTTCAATTCTGACCTGTCTACTCCCTCAGTTGACCAGCCCTAGGCTTGCAGTGAGGAAAAGAACCATTATAGCTCTTGGCCATTTGGTTATGAGCTGTGGAAATATAGTTTTTGTAGATCTTATTGAGCATCTGTTGTCAGAGTTGTCCAAAAATGACTCCATGTCAACAACCAGAACATACATACAATGTATTGCTGCTATTAGTAGGCAAGCTGGTCATAGGATAGGTAAGAAGTTTTAAAATATTTTACAGTTATGTTTAATTTAAAAAATATTGCATCATTTTAAGAAATTGTACTTTTCTTAGGTGAGTACCTTGAGAAGATAATTCCTTTGGTGGTAAAATTTTGTAATGTAGATGATGATGAATTAAGAGAATACTGCATTCAAGCTTTTGAATCATTTGTGAGAAGGTAAGCTTTTAAGAAGTCTTACTTTTTTTTTTTTTTTTTTTTGATTCTAGGGATTGAACTCAGGACCTTGTGCTTGTGAGGCACGAGATGGAACCACTGAGCTAAATCCCCTGCCCAAGAAGTCTGTTTTTTAAGAATAATTTTTAATTAAAGTCTGAGTTTTTGGTATATAAGGAAAAACAGCTTATAGGATCTCACATATGGTTAATTATTTCTTTTCTTTTTCTTTTTTTTTTTTTTGAGACAAGGTCTCTCTATGCAGTTCAGGCTGGCCTTGAACTCTGTGTAGTTTTGGCTGGCCTCAAACTCACAGCAATCCTCTTGTCTCCTGAATGCTGAGATTACAGGCATGTACCACCATGCCCAGCTTTATTTCTTCGTTAGGCAATAAATAACTGATAGCCAGTACAAACTGTGAAGCTAATGTTATCTCACTATTAAAATGTAGTCATCACATTTATTTTGAAATGTTTCCCTTTCATTGGTAAGACTTTATAAAGAAGCTGGGGAAGGCAGGTTTATTAGGTTTATTTTGATTCTTTGGAAGGGAAGAGAGGTGTCATAATATCTGTCCTGAGAGAGCAGCAGGATAAATTGATTATCTCATCAGAAACATACAGTGAATTTTGTGTTTATTTTAAACCATTGATTTAGATCTGTCACATTTGTTTTGCTAGGACAGCAATACTCAATTTAGAAAACTTGATTGTAAGGTTTTTTTGAAAGCTTAATTAAAATTACATGTTTGTGAACTAGAAGGCAGTATTTCTTGGTATTCCTGGTTTTCAGAAGTGGTTTTAATGCACATTTTTAAATTGTGGGATTCATTTCTGTCCTTTTAATTAATAAAAACAAATTATTCCTTTGTTGGCCCTGTGGGCATTTGTGCTCTATCCTCAACATACATCCGGAAGACCAAGCTAGATGAATGTGTGCTAACATTTTCACAATCATCCTAGTTGCTGAAGAGCACGCTCTTCTGGGCTTGGTCTTCATTGTAAAAAGATAGAGCATATACCATTTTCTCTGTATGCTACCTCACATTAACCATAACAAATTTAAAGTGCAGGAGGAGGAAGTTCATCTTAAAATTGATCAAGTATAATTTGAAAGGTTAATATTTTTGTAATGATTTGGGAACCATGTTCCTGTGTTATTGCTATTAACAAACAAAATTTGACAGATACTAAAGCAAGGAGAAAAATACAGTTACTTAAAGCAGCTTTTAGGGCCAGGGATGTAGTTCAGTGGCACAGCACACGCCTGGCAAGTGCAAAGTCCTGAGTTCAGTTCCCATTACTGGAAAAATAAATAAAAATTTAAAAACTTAAAACAGCTTTTGTTTTTTGTCTTCAGATGTCCTAAGGAAGTATATCCTCATGTTTCTACCATAATAAACATTTGTCTTAAATATCTTACCTATGATCCAAATTATAATTATGATGATGAAGATGAAGATGAAAATGCTATGGATGCTGATGGTGGTGATGATGATGACCAAGGTATTTCAAATGAAATAAAAGGAATCTTATTTGTTAAATTTTGTGCAAGGCCTACTGTTAGAGATGGAGATGATTTTTGTATTTAAATTTTCTAGAGTATTCTTTTAAGAAGCTAAATTAGTGTTTTTTGAAATCTAAAAATACACATGTATTCAGAGTCTTTAAGTTTGGTTGGTATTGAATTTCTTTTTACTTATAGTTATATTCATAAAAATACTAAATTTTGACGCCCCATTGAACCTTCATGAATAATTTAAAACATTTCTGAGGTTCCCTGAGATTGATTTCAGACTTTAATTTGTAGATTTACTCTAGAAAGAGTAACATGGCAAGGACATAGGGGTTGCCTTTGTTTAGTTGATTCTCTTTGTATTTGAGATCATAATAAATTTAAATGGATAAATTAATACTTTTTAGTGGATTCTTTGAGTTTATGTAATGACGTTCCATAATTAAACTTGTATTTTAAAAATATCTACAAAAATCTCCCATAACCCTGTCTAGTTCTTCCTGTTTTCTCTCCTCTACAACAGAACTCTTCAAATGAATACTGTTAATATTCCTTCCTCCCCCTTCTGTCTTGAACCTAGTTCTTCAGTGTTGGACAAGATTGCAAATGCTTGCAAACATTTGACTATTATTCAGATTCAGCTGTTTTTCTTTATTTAGCTTCTAGGACACCACACTTATCCTGATTTTAGTCCTGCTTATGTGATTACACTTTTTCAGTCTTCCATACTGATTCTTCATCTCTCTCACCATGAAATTTAGAAAATTCCAGATCTGAATTCTTGAACTCACTTCTTGTATTATTCGGTTTTCTTGTTGATCTCATCTAGTCTCCCAGCTTTAGTGTCATCACACTGACAACCCAGATTTTATCTTTCATCCAAATCTTTCCTTGAATCCAGGTTCATATGTAACTGAAATCTTTTCTCCCTATCCATCTCCAAAACTTTTCCTTGAATTTTTTTCCATCTCAGAATGCTGCCTCCATTCTTTTTAAATTTTTAGGCCCAGAACTTTGAAGTCATACTTGATTCCTTTCTCTCACACTGTTTCACCCCAGAGCTTTCCTCTTATTTGACATACTTGTATCCCTTTTCAACATTTTTATTTCTTTTATTACATTTAATAACTTTGTGACACACTCTAACCTTTGCCTACTAGAATACAGTCTTCATGATGACTAGAAAATTTAATCTCTTGATTCCTTACCTCAGTGTTTAGGGTAATGCTTGACACACAATAGACACTCAATATGTTAGTAAAGGGAAACATTAGCTTATTTTACAGTATGAATATCCTTTGAAGAAAACAATAGTAATGTATGTTCTGTGTTTCAAAAGTTGGTATTTAGCACACTAAATAACCAGGTCCTTCAGCTGCTTTATAAGTTAAGGATTTTAAGTATTGAATGCCTTTTTTACCTTGATGTTATTGTGACTGATAAAATAATCATAATTTCAGTGATTAGGACATGTGTTAGTTTTTTATAAACTTGTGTTCAGTAAAGCTTATAATTGCTAGGATACAATTACCATTCTGTGTTGACAAAGGAAAAAATTTCATTTATTTTCTTTTAAATGAGTAAGTCTATTTTGGCAGTACCTTTTAACTTACAGTTTTTGAGTTTTCCTGTAGTCTGATAAAATGACATACGTAAACCTGGAGATTGGTAAATTTTAATATATTTCCTAGAATCTTCTAAGGTCTAACTTGGCTACATTTGACTAACACTAAGTTAACTGGATTATGATAGAGATCACTACCTATCTGTACACATAGGGTGAGGAGACATTTTAGGGCTGTGTTTTCTAAGAATAACAAAATCATTGTTACACAATTTTAGACTGTTATGAGAACTGCTATTATTTGTGCTACCTTCCTGCATTTGTTACCCAAGTGGGTCAACCTAATGGTGTTAGAAGGAAATGTTTGTTGATATTTCACACATACCAGTTATCTATTAAGTATACCTAAATGAGATGCAATTCTTCATGCTTATACCTAAAATGTTTTAGCTTTACCATTAGGAATTGTGGATAGTGGTACTCTGTTATGTAGAAAACATTTTTTGTAATAATGAGGAATGTAAAGTTTCTCCAGACAAAATTGTGAAAGGTTGAGAATATGCATATTTTTCCTAATACTACATCAGATTTAATGAAAAGCCTATAACAAAGCAGATGTCAGGATTCTTCCACTTCCCCAACCCCCAGAAAATTAGAAAGGGATTAGTAACCATTCTTTTTATAACATAATTGGTAGCCAGAGATCCATTTCATGGTTTAACTTACAAACTCCTTCTTTGTTTGAATTTCCTGTAGTATTGAGTCTTTTGACTTTTTTCAGAGGCCAGTAAATTTATGATTTTATAAATATTTATATTCCAACTTTTAATGTGTTAATGATTTTAGAGAGTTTTAAAAGTAAGCAGCCATTCTTCACCCACAATAACAAATTTTAGCAAATTAAGAGCACAATCATGATCCTTTTTAAAAAGTTAATTCAGATAAGTAACAAGCTCTGCATCTGTTTCAAGTTTATTGCTGTCTTTTAAACCTATTGCTTTTCTCTAACTGGTTTGATTAAGAATAATTCTGCTTTGGGGGCTACGATTTAGCTCAGTGATTCTGCCGCCTGCCTCGCAAATGCAAGGTCCTGAGTTCGATCCCCGGTACCAAAAAAAAAATAATAATTCTGTATTAAGTGATATACTTATTAATATCATGTTCATATTAAAACTTCCCTTCAGGGAGTGATGATGAATACAGTGATGATGATGACATGAGTTGGAAAGTGAGGCGCGCAGCTGCTAAGTGCCTGGATGCCGTCGTCAGCACAAGGCATGAAATGCTTCCAGAGTTCTACAAGACTGTCTCTCCTGCACTGATATCCAGATTTAAAGAGCGGGAAGAGAATGTAAAGGCAGATGTTTTTCATGCATACCTCTCTCTTTTGAAGCAAACTCGTCCTGTGCAAAGTTGGCTGTGTGACCCTGATGCAATGGAACAAGGAGAAACACCTTTAACAATGCTTCAAAGTCAGGTTGGTTTAAAGTATGTTTGAGAAAATCATTGTAGTAAATGAGATGTTTTTAAAAATGTTTTTATTTGAGACCTAGAGTATCTTCAGAGAAGCAGAAAGTTCTAGGGTATAGTTCTACAGAAGTTAGTGGATGTTCATATTTACTAATAAACCATTTATTCTACCTGAAGTATTCTTGATTTTCTCAATAAACACTTCTAAAATATTTTTAAGATTCAGTAAAGTAACTTTTATCTTAGATGTAAATAAAGAATTCTTAAAGCTGTGGAGCCATATAGCCAGTTTCACTACTAATTTAATGATGTGATCTTGGACATTTTTTATTTTATTAAATCTAATTTTCTCATATGTAGTAAGACTTTAGAGTCATCTACCCAGGGTAATGAGAAATGAAATGATCTGTATATAGTTTCAGTGTATAGCACCTGTTACATAGTAAGTGCTTAACATATGCCAACTGTGACTGTTAATAACATACACATATTTCACTGAGGTTTTCTTTCTACAATCTTAAACATTAGCTCTAGGTAGCTCCTTTTTATTGAATATTTAGTACATATTGGGTGTTTTCTTCCTGTCACATATAATCCCTGTAAAAGCTATGGATTCTGTACTGTCTATTTTTTATAGATTATAAAACATGTTGAAAGAGATTAAACCAGGAGAGGAGAAAACACATATTTCATCTTCTTTACAGATAGTGCAAATGAATAAATTTTGTAAATATATTCATAAAGGTAAATGTTGATTAAGTTTAGAAGGGAATGGGAATATGTGGAGTATTTAAGCAGTAAAAGTATCTGGAATCTGGGTGTTTAGTAGACTCAATAAAAATTCTGATAATGTTCTGAGGAATTAGGTGATTTTTTTTTTGTTTCTACTTTCACAGTTGTGACTTGTGTTTGTGTAGTGTTCTTGTTGGTTGTTTTTGTTTTTAGTTTCTTTGTTATTGAGGAATTTTAGAGCTCTGTCAGGCATCCATACAATTTGTCAGTACAGACCATATTTAAGTTTTACTGACTAAAAAATCAGGATTTGGAACAGATATCTGAATTCTGTTCCTGCTGCTTGTAGCTACTTTTGAAGTAGCTTTTTGTTTTTGTTTTTGGTTTTTTTTTGTGCTGGGGATCGAACTCTGGTCCTTGCGCTTGAGCAGCAGGTGGCGAAACCACTGAGCTAAATCCCTGGCCCTGAAGTAGCTTTTATTCAACAACAAAGTGGAAGGAAAAGAAAGACTGATTTGATGGTTACTTTCTTATAATTTTTCTTGTTTTATTAAATGTTTATCTGTTCTTCCATTTATAAATTACATTCCTAAGATTTGGTTGAAGGTTATTTTATTATTTGTTTTTTGCTTGTCTTGTGCACTTTATAATAAAAATTTATCAAGTAAGATTATTCCTGTTTCAGACATAGTGAACATATAGATTACGTACAGTAAACTTAGTTTTTGTGTAACAGTCTGTTAACTATAGCACTAGAGAGCCAAATTGGAAATACAGCCCTCTTTCCCTCCTAAAAAAGATAAATGCCTGTCTCCTTATTTTCCGTAATTCATTGTAAGTGGACTGAAGAAATACCAGTGAATAAACCAGTTAATGAGTATGTGATAATTACAGGTTCCCAACATTGTTAAAGCTCTGCACAAACAGATGAAAGAAAAAAGTGTGAAGACCCGACAGTGTTGTTTTAACATGTTAACTGAACTGGTAAATGTATTACCTGGAGCCCTAACACAACACGTTCCTGTGCTTGTACCAGGTATGAAACAAAAATCTCTTAGGGAATTTATTATGGGCTTCTTATTTTATGACTTAGATAAGCTAAAATAATTGTTTCCTATAAAAGGGAAATTTGTGATAACTTGCTCCTAGAATTTTTTATCTAACCATCTTGAAAATATGAAGTTAGGCATTTGTAAGCAAAAAGTTTAAAATTTTACCCTAAAATCTTTGGCTTTAATACTTACTACAGATTGTGGATTTCTACTACTATAGTGATAATATGGTGAAGGTGGGAACTTTAACAGTTTCCCCCAAGTTTTTTAGGGATTGATTTAATTTTATCTTTTCTCAGAACTGCACAGAAATGATGAGACTTTTTTCCTTGATGTTTGTTTTTTTAGGAATTATTTTCTCACTGAATGATAAATCAAGCTCATCGAATTTGAAGATTGATGCTTTGTCATGCTTATATGTGATCCTCTGTAACCACTCTCCTCAAGTCTTCCATCCTCATGTTCAGGCTTTGGTCCCTCCAGTGGTGGCTTGTGTTGGAGACCCATTTTACAAGATTACATCTGAAGCACTTCTTGTTACTCAGCAGCTTGTCAAAGTAATCCGTCCTTTAGATCAGCCTTCTTCGTTTGATGCAACTCCTTACATTAAAGATCTCTTTACTTGCACCATTAAGAGGTTGAAAGCAGCTGACATTGACCAGGAAGTCAAGGAAAGGGCTATTTCCTGTATGGGACAAATTATTTGCAACCTTGGAGACAATTTGGGTTCTGATTTGCCTAATACACTTCAGATTTTCTTGGAGAGATTAAAGAATGAAATTACCCGGTTGACAACAGTGAAGGCATTGACGCTGATTGCTGGGTCACCCTTGAAGATAGATTTGAGGCCTGTCTTGGGAGAAGGGGTTCCTATCCTTGCTTCATTTCTCAGGAAAAACCAGAGAGCTTTGAAACTGGGAACCCTGTCTGCACTAGATATTCTAATTAAAAACTATAGTGACAGCTTGACAGCTGCCATGATTGATGCAGTTCTAGATGAGCTCCCACCTCTTATCAGTGAAAGTGATATGCATGTTTCACAGATGGCTATCAGTTTTCTGACTACCTTGGCAAAAGTGTATCCCTCCTCCCTTTCAAAGATAAGTGGATCTATTCTCAATGAACTCATTGGACTTGTAAGATCACCCTTATTGCAGGGGGGAGCTCTTAGTGCCATGCTAGACTTTTTCCAAGCTCTGGTAGTCACTGGAACAAATAACCTAGGATACATGGATTTGCTGCGCATGCTGACTGGTCCAGTTTACTCTCAGAGCACAGCTCTTACTCATAAGCAGTCTTACTATTCCATTGCCAAATGTGTAGCTGCCCTTACTCGAGCATGTCCCAAGGAGGGACCAGCTGTCGTAGGTCAGTTCATTCAAGATGTCAAGAACTCAAGGTCTACAGATTCCATTCGGCTCTTAGCTCTCCTTTCTCTTGGAGAAGTTGGGCATCATATTGACTTAAGTGGTCAGTTGGAACTAAAATCTGTAATATTGGAGGCTTTCTCGTCTCCTAGTGAAGAAGTGAAATCAGCTGCCTCCTATGCTCTAGGCAGCATTAGTGTGGGCAATCTTCCTGAATATCTGCCGTTTGTCTTGCAAGAAATAACCAGTCAACCCAAAAGGCAGTATCTTCTGCTTCATTCCTTGAAGGAAATTATTAGCTCTGCATCAGTGGTGGGCCTTAAACCATATGTTGAAAATATCTGGTCCCTATTACTAAAACACTGTGAGTGTGCGGAGGAAGGTACCAGAAATGTGGTTGCTGAATGTCTAGGAAAACTCACTCTAATTGATCCAGAAACTCTCCTTCCACGGCTTAAGGGTTATTTGATATCAGGTGAGTATCTATAGATTTTCTTACCTAAAAACATTGTTGATAATTGGCCTTAAAAGATACCTGAGGGAGGAATTAAAGTCATCTCTGAATTTTCTTGTATGTAAAAGCTATGTATGTGAAGTAGTATCTTGTGTTGTAATGAAGTCATATTCAAATGACATTGTTTAGAAGGATTATAATTTTAGATCTAGTTCCTCAGCTGACTACATTTTAATATTACTGTTTTAATGTTGGAAAAGATGTAGCTCTTAGCATAAAGAGCTTATGGTTACTAATTATTAAAATTGGTGAAAATATTTGGTTCAATTGAAAGAGCTCAAGAGATTTCAGTTTTACCAGTGTCTGCCCTATTCAAATAAGTAGAAGGTGGTAGTGGCTATTCTTTAAAATTGTTTTCTTTTTTAATTCGAAAATTTTACAAGATATTTATGGAATTAACTAGTTCCCTTGTGAGGGTTAGTTCCTCTATTGCTGCTTTCCCAGGTTACCTCCTTCACAGAAGAAATTCTTTGTTTTGAAATCTAATGGAATTGTATTTCATAAGGTGAGTAAACTTTGCTCCTTTAGTATCCTGAAAGCCATAAGAGAAGTATTCTTTTTTTTTTTTTTTTTTTTTTGGCCAAAGAGATCTTTAAGGAATTAAAGATACTGGTATTATATGAAGTGGTTTGAAAATGATGCCCATAGACTTTAGTGGACTATACCAATAGACTTGCAATTTATTTTTAACTAGGCTCATCATATGCCCGAAGTTCAGTGGTTACAGCTGTGAAGTTTACTATTTCTGATCATCCTCAACCTATTGATCCACTATTAAAGAACTGCATAGGTAAGTGGAAACAAAGATAAGCATACTGATTAACTGTTTTGAGGAAAGACATTTAAAGAACCATTAACTGAGGAGTTTTATTTTTATTGATGAGGAATTAAAATGCTTGTAGGTAATTGTTTTATTTAAAAGATTAATGAGGAATAAAGGTTGAAAAATAAGATCATTGACTATGTGGTCTTATAACTCTAGGGAGTTACAGTTGCTTATACTATACTTGCTTAGCTTGAAATTATTGCCTGATAATTTTGCAAATAACTGAAATTAACAAATGTACCAGCATGTCTTTAGAATCAGCTACATACTTGGTATCACAACTTGGGAATGACTAATTTTAATGAATAAAGCAAAAGATACTAAATCTCTCTCTCCAGTCAAAAGTTTCATCTTGATTATACATGAATCTCACTTGTACTGTTAGGGCCCCTTTTTTGATTATTGTTTATAATCCTCCAGTTCCCAAGGGGACCGGTAGAGATGACCCCATATAAATTGGAAACAACCTAAGAACAAAAACAAAAAAATAAAGTTGGTTAGAGTTAATTCTCAGAAGACTAAGAGGAGATGGCCAAGAAAAACTAGAGCCATTTAGATGGATCACCATCTGTAATTTCTTCTCTTCATTTGCAAAAAGAGGTAGACTTAAACCTGTTTTTAAAGTAGCTAGATGCTGTCTTTGGCATTTGTCCTATGTTAGGTTTCAGATTTCTTTTATGCCTTTACACTTTCATAAATCCAAGTATTTCTCAGTGATGATAGACGGAAGTGAGAGGTTTTTTTGGAGGCACATTTCTATGTCATTCAATGTATACCTGTTAAACAGTATTTCATCTTTATTAGGCAGTGAGGTTTGTTTTCACTGTGTTCATCTTATTTTAAATTTTTTTTATTTTTTTATTTCCAGTGAACTGTATGGAGACTCTTAAAAGTTATTAGTCTTTGTCTCTCAGCTGTCTTACTTTTTCTACAATCCTCCTTATAAAGTATCCATAAAAGTAATACACTCTCCGCATTGTAGATGCTGAGAGTAGATTATCAATTATCAGTTGAAAATGTACTCAGCTTCAAAATGGTAGTTACCCTGCTGCGAAAATAAACTTTCATGATTCACTTACTATTTCATCAGATTCTTTCATGACCATTGAACAAGTAACAGTGATACCAACAATAGTAAACTAAATCAATTTAGAAGAAAAACAGTGTATGTTATATCTTCATTTTATTGTAACTGAATTTTTCAGGTGATTTCCTAAAAACTTTGGAAGATCCAGATTTGAATGTAAGAAGAGTAGCCCTGGTCACGTTCAATTCAGCAGCACATAACAAGCCATCACTAATAAGGGATCTGTTGGATACTGTTCTTCCACATCTTTATAATGAAACAAAAGTTAGAAAGGAGCTCATAAGAGAGGTAAGTTAGCTTACATTACCTGAGCTTTTTCTCTTACTTTTATTTTGTTAAATTTTATTTATTTACTTATTTTTGGTGCCGGGGATCGAATTCAGGACCTTGTGCTTGCAAGGTAGGCGTGGGCACCACTGAGCTAAATCCCTAGCCCCTGTCTTACTTTTAAATATCACATGTGCATGTTCTTTTTTGTTTTGACAGGTAGAAATGGGTCCATTTAAACACACAGTTGATGATGGTCTGGATATTAGAAAGGCCGCTTTTGAGTGTATGTATACACTTCTGGACAGTTGTCTTGATAGGCTGGATATCTTTGAATTTCTAAATCATGTTGAAGATGGTTTAAAGGACCATTATGATATTAAGGTAAGGTGTTTGTGACTGTTTATGGAATATTTTAGGAGAAAGCTTCACTTTGTAGCATCTTTTACCCTAAGAGAAAATTTGGGTTGTCTGTAAGATTTTAGTAGGCATCTTATAACTATAATATGCAGTAGTAGTGAGGCAGTGTAGCATCAGCTGATACACAAGAAAAATCCAAAACCCTTTTAATTGAAGAAGTAGATTGAACACAAACATTTTAAGAAATGCTTTTGCCAGTTTGCCTTAGAATAGTCCCTACCTTGATCCTTTCCTTCAAAAGAGGAGTCCAGACAGGTTTTGCTCTTCCAAATATAAAAACTGATTTTTTTAACCTATCTTGGTGTTGAACTGTAGTTGAAACCATGGAGGATTTCCTAAGTTTCCCTGTATTGATTAATTTTCTTGGGCTATCTTTGGGGCTGATTTGAATAATAAATATTTTGTTTACCTGAATGATTTTCGTTTTTCAATATAACATACTTGTTTATCAAGAATTTTCTTAGTAACAAATGTTTTCAGATACACAAAGCAATCTGTAGAAGCAACTAGAGAGGAGTCTTACTGCTTCTTGAGTTTAGATCATGAAGTTTGCTTGTAGCTTTTCATATTCATCTCCATTTTAAATATGAACAATTGAAAGTTAATTTGAAAAATTCAAAAAATAAATGTATTCTGTCCTTTTCATGTGCTCTACATTAGGACTTTTGGCCAGGCAGAGCAAAACTACCTGAACAGAAATTGAGCCTTTCATATTTTCATATATAGTAGTGACCTAATCCTTCCAAAATTCAATGAAGAGAATTCTCAAAAAAGTAATAGATTATGTTTAATTCTATAAATTTATAGCCTAAGAAAAAAGATTATGGATTATCAGGTCTTGTATGGATTAATCTGAATAATAGCCCCTATTCCTTCTGAAAATCTGTTAAAAAGTTATTTAAAAGCTTTCCTTCCAGGTGAGTAATTTTTAGTTCAGTGACTTTCAAATCTGGTTGCACATAAGCTTTTTAAAAAAGAATCTAAGGCCCTATCCTGACAAGTTAAATAAAAATTTCTGAGGGTGGGGCTGATGAAGGGATATTTTTCAGAAGCTTCCCCAGTGATTCCAATATGCACCCAAGATTGAAAAACATAGTTTTGTATTCTGGGACCACATGATAGTTGAGGTCCCTCTAGTATGTACCTCACATAAGGTTTGAAACAAAGCTGTGTGAGTTTGAATGGCAGATTACATTAATGTAAAGCTTTCTTTTGCATGCTGATCATTTTCCTTTTAAAAGGTTTGTCAGAACTTGGGATATTCTTTAGAAAAATATTGTTTAAATTTTGTCAATTTTTTATAGATGCTAACATTTTTAATGTTAGTGAGACTCTCTACACTTTGTCCAAGTGCAGTGCTACAGAGATTGGATCGGCTTGTTGAACCCTTACGTGCTACGTGTACAACTAAGGTAATCGTTAATAGGCATCAGCTTACACTAAAATTGGGGTAGGATTTATCAAGTATAGAGATAGTATCCAATATCCCTATGTACCCTGTAATATTTAGGTTTAAAGTGTTAAAATTTTGTGACCATGAATTCTTTTGTTTTATAAATTTTATCATTTAAAAGTTGAAAATTCCCCAAGACAAAATTAGTTTTCTTTTTCATATATAACATTTTGAATTAAGATTACTAGCTTATTTCATTTCTAGTTTTCCAAATTTAACTATACTGGTACCTTATGTAGCAGATTGTTTAAAAAGTTAACCTATTATCTGTGAATGTTTTATAAAACTTAGCCGTATCAAGTGCTGCTCTTATAAACATTTGTTTATTGCTATAACAATTATTTTGAGGTATTGATAATGGGATGTAATAAAAGAGGAAGTATTAATTGTAGTTAGGGAGCGAAGCATAGGAAGAATTTTTTTTTATGGCCAATAAGGTGAAACAAGGCTTTTTTTTTTTTTGTACCGGGATCGAACTCGGGACCTTGCACTTGCGCAGCAGGCGGTGAAACCACTGAGCTAAATCCCTGGCCCTCAAGGCTTTTTTTTTTTAAATGAAAGAATTACATGAATAAAGGCATGAAGATGTTATGTAGTGTTTGAAGAATAGTGGATAATAGGGTAGCTAGAAATACAGTTTCTTGGTAAGGGCCAAAGTGTGACTTGTTAATCAGTTAAGACTGAGTTTTGCTCTGTTTCTACCATGTTGATCGGATTTTCTATTTTTATAAGGATCTTTGTATAATATATTCCTTTGAAAAGATTTTGCTACTGATTTGAAAAGAAGCTTAAAACCAGCTGTGCTTAGAATATGCTGTACCATTTCCACCTATGAAAATCTAGCATTGCTGTATTTACCAGGAGTTCTTATGTGTTTAAATTTTGTTCATAGAAGTGCATATTATAGCATGCATACATATGTATAATAATATATAGTCTACCCTGTAATCTAAATTTATTCCATGTTACAGGTAAAGGCAAACTCAGTAAAGCAGGAGTTTGAAAAGCAAGATGAATTAAAGCGATCTGCCATGAGAGCAGTAGCGGCACTGCTGACCATTCCAGAAGCAGAGAAGAGTCCACTGATGAGTGAATTCCAATCACAGATCAGTTCTAACCCTGAGCTGGCAACCATCTTTGAAAGTATCCAAAAAGATTCATCATCCACTAATTTGGAATCAATGGACACTAGTTAGATGTTTGTTCATTACGGGGACGGTTACCTTTGACCATACAATGCACTGAATTGACAAGTTCATCATAAGACATGAAAAGAGAAGTGTCTGAAAGCTTCAGGAAGTTCCACTTTCTTTTATTCATGGCGACAGTTTGTTCAGCTTTCTTCCATTATTGTTTTTATAGCATTTATTTCAAAAATATGTATTTCCATAATCCAGAGGTTGTAAAACCACTAATGTTTTTAGTGGTTAGAGCAACATTTTAAAATGGAAACTAAAAGTTAGGATTTATGGAGTGTGGAGAGAGGGTCCAGTATCTTATTTACCCTGTAATGTTTAGGATTAAAATGTTAAAATTTTGTGACCATGAATTTCTTTGTTTTATACATTTTCTCAAAAATCAAGAATTCTACAAAAACAATGTTTCTTATATAACTTTCTCTTTCAGCAACATAATTGATTTTTAGCTGACAATATCCATTTTAGATTTGTTACATTTCAGAGGGCTTGGCAGTTTTAAAAAGATAAGGTAACATTTTTTTAAGTGTGAGGACTACCAGTATCCCTGTTGCACACACTAATTTTTGCATGAGCAAGTTTACAAATATGTATTGTGTGTAAAGCAGCATGTGCAATTATTCATAATACAAAGTTCAAATAAGTATTAGTGCAATTTTCAGATACTTATTTTTGCACAGAAAACATGTATCTGAAGAAAGGGGGAGAGAGGAGTAATTTTTGAAACTTTAGTTTTCCTAATCCCAGTGTGAATTTTCAGATGTTTTTAGCGAATCAAGTCACAGTAACAGTTTGCCATTTTTTTCCATTACAAATTTTGTTACACATTTAAAATTTGAATGTTTACTCAATTTTTCTCAGTTATCCATTTGTGTGTGTTTCCACCTAGAAATTCTTAAAGCCAGATTTTTTTTTCATTCTCTTTGGATGTCTGCATTCCTTATTGATAGATACAAATAGTGTGTCTGCTTTTGAATTTTGTTTTTAGGAAAATTCTGAAGCCAGCTATCACAGGTTTGTTAATATTTCCTTTTAGTTAAGCATTTTTCCTGTCTTGTGGAACTAATTTACGTACTGTACTTGGTAAGTTTTAACTGCTTTTCCTTATTAAGGGATCTGTGCTGAGAGACAAAGCTTTTTGCAGTACCTCCTATTATAGTAGAAATTTTATTCAACATATCCTTCAGTGAACTCATTTCACACTGTAGCCTCTTCCTTCAAATTTGTGGTGCTCCTATAATAGTAAGAATTAACTTCTGAAATAAAAGGCATCTCTTAATGCTGTGCAAGCATGGTTTACATGTATTGAAGGAGGCAGTTAAATTGAGTGACCAATTTCAAGCAATCACATATTTGAAAGCTGCACCCTTTATTTTTGAAACTGTGAATTAGAAATACCTAATTTCCTGCTGTATTACTCATCGGCTTTAATATCTGAATATGCAGTGGTTTTAATTAATAACATAGTTTGGTTTTTAGATTAACTTGATTTTGAATGTTTAGATGATAACACAAAAATTGCTACTTTTCAGGTTTTGATTAGTACATCGACATGGAATATAGTTACATGAAGTTGGTGCCATTTTGAAATATGGCAGGTGATAATCTTATACCATAATTTGCATAAAACTGTAATAGAAATTTATTTTGAGCTGTTTATATGTACTATGCATTGCTGTGGTATAGATGTTGTGGCTATATTTAAGTTTTGGGTTATAGTTTCACAATAAATTACAATATTGCAGGCTCTAGGACTGAATAGGAGACTGACAAACATATATTGTTTGAATATCTTAGTTAATTGCCTAAAGTTAAATTCAAATTATTGTTCCTTTGTTTTTAATGTCCAACATCCATGTTATTTTTATTTATTTTTATTTTTTTAGTATTACAAGCCAGTTTTTTTTGTTTTTGTTTTGTTTTGTTTTTGACATAGCTGAAATACTGAATAGATACAGCTTTTATAGTCTTGGTATTAACTTACCTATGTATTCTGCTTAACCCACCTGTTTATTCTCATACTTAAAAAAATTAGTAACAGAAGGAATGTTCACAATTTTAAATGCCTAGTTATCCATATTACTTCATACTTGTAATGGTGATGTGGTCCAGATACTGGTGTAGAATTAGCAAGGTCTAGCAAGATGGGGAGTCCAGACATATTCTACCACTCATGCTGCTCACTGGAAATGTTCGGAAGTTCTGCTTAAGAATTCTCTATTCTTTATTCTCCATTCTTTATTGTAAGTCTAAAAGGGGTTATAAGAGTAGCTGTTTACTGATTTTCATGAGGACATTTAAATTACTTTAGAGCTTTTTTTTTTCAAGCTCAACATGGAGTTGAATTTTGAGTTTAGGTCATCTTCCAAAATTAGGGCAGAAAGGAATTTTGGTATAGAGAGAGAGGCCTAGCCTAAAAAGCTATTTATAAAATCAGGAGTGCTGAATTATAATTTTTAAATTGATGATCATATATTAGTGATATCTGAAATCTGCCTAACCATTAGCAATTCAAGTTCTTTTTTTTTTTTTTTTCGGAACGGGGGATCGAACTCAGGACCTTGTGCTTGTGCTTGCGAGGCAGGTGCAGTACCACTGAGCTAAATCCCCAGTAGCAATTCAAGTTCTTAAAAGTTGAAGTATGTTGACTTCACCAAATGTTTGAGTATTTATGTAATTTTTATTTAAAAATAACCAAATTAGCCTTTTTTTATATTTAAGTAATTAAAGAAATAACATAGAGGTATATTTAATTAACCAGTTCTACGGATGTTCTGATACCTTCACATGTGGCTCAGCCTCAGACATATGAATATGATCATACAGTCATGGTTGAAATGCAAAATGATGAAGTATATAAAATTTCGAGTCATTGAAGAATTCAATTAACCTATTAAGCTTTTTAAAGCTGTAGTCACATGACAAAGTATAAAGTAATACTTTGTAACTGAAATAATATTTTCTACCCATGTTTTTATTAAAAAATCTTAAATTGTTACAATTACTTGCTGATCTCTAGATATTTAAATATTAAAAGCTGTAAAATTTTAGCAAATAAGATTTGGATTCTAGTTCTATTTTAAATTGAATCCTAATTTTCAAACCACTGCCACCCCAGATTCATACCTTTTTTTGACATCTTATTTAATATTCTGTGGAATGGAAAATTGACAGCATAGTAACAAGTCATATGCTGTTTTGAAAAAAGTTATTCTGGTTTTAGCTGATTTTCCCAATTAAGTGAAATTCTTTTATACTTTTGGTTGTAAAAAGTGGAACACAATGGAAGTATCTGGTCCCAAGCTACCAAAAACTCAGCAGATAAAGTTTTTTTTTCGAAAAAGCAAAGTGAAATCACCTATTTTTCCTTTTCATACAGTAAAGTTGCATGTTTTGCACAAGATCTTTCAGCAACGTGTTTCTGCTCTTTGTAATATAGAAAGCTAGCTCTGAATCCAAAATGGGATTTGTGTTTTTATATGGCATTTAAAGAGCCAGCTTAATTAAAATTATCAAGGAGCTAATGCATATAATTGTACTTTGTTGGATCCTGTTAGATATATGTGTTAGATTTCAGAATGATTTTTAATAGAAGAAATCTGTTTTTAGAATATTAATTCTCTGGCCTTCATACTTTTAAATTCTAATCTTACGTGACTATCTGGATGATGTTGGCAAGTTCAACTGTTTTGCTGAGGTCTTTAAAAAACATATTACTAATGGAATTAATGTATTTGACCATTGTTAGTAACTGAGTGCACATTGAGTGATTTTATTCTAGAATGCTCTCAGAAAATCTCTAAGAAAACTGTACTTTGAAACTGGTTAATTGTACAGTACCAGGATGGCCCTATGTTTTAATAGTCTGTAATAATCCTGTTGTGCTAAAAAGCTATTTTACTTGTTCCACAGATATTTCACTTTTAAACATGATAAAAATCTAATTGCTTACTTATGTAAGGGCAGCTAAATGTGTGAAATGCTACTTTACCTGTACTCTTAGTATAGCATTTTCAAAAGATATATGTGTATATGCTTGAAGTCATTACCATACCATGAATTAAGATAGCTTTCCTAAGAGATCTGGGAATAAACTCCTGGTTCCTTATTCTAAAAGTAAAATTCATGTTTTCCTTTAGAATTTATACGTTAGTAGAAAAAGTCATGTTTATTATTTTAGATCTAGAAAGCATTGTTGACATTTTGTACTGTGAAGTTTTTTTGTTTCCTCATGTTTTGTTTTCTTTTCGAGGTGGGGTTGCTGATACATGCGTTGTATGATATTAGCAACATCCCTGGCCTCTGCCCACTAGATGCTAGTAGTGTCACCATTCCTTGGTTATAACCAGCACTGCCTCCATACATTTTCAGATGTCTCCATGTGAGGGGAGATGGGCATTGCCACAATTGAAAACTACTGCTTTTGGGAATTTTGTTTCTAGCAGCTATACCCAACTGAGATTCTATATAGCCATTTCTTTGCAGAAGATAAATCTCCTGTATATAGGCAGAAGTTTTCACTCATACATATCAGTTTTTTATTCCTAAACATATTTTCTCCTAATTAATCTGTTTTCTTCCACCAGTTCATTAAAACTCATGATTTAGTGAAAATAGGTTTCCACTCTATACAATATCATCAGATTTAAGTGGATGGTCTTTAGTAAATCCCTTAACTTGTTTTCCTCTGTCTGTAAAATGGCTTTCTGCATACTTAATAGAAATACTGTTATAAAGGGGAGTATGAGGCAGTTTAAGTGCTTTGAAATCAATGTACTGCATATAAGTTAGGACCAGTAGCCATAATCAACCAGTGCATTTGAATTCTGATGAAGCCTGAGTAAGTGGATTTGCAGAATTATTAATACCCATGAGAAGAATTTGTCCATATATTTACTTTCTTGCACTAAAGACTTATTTCCCAATATGGCCAATTTCCTGTTTAGCTTTATACCAAATGGTGATACTTTGATAGTTCCAAAATATTTTTGAGAACAACTATTAAAGTTAAGCTGACTATAGCAGCTTTTTGCTATTTTTCTAGGATTAGATTGTGATTGGAGACAATTATGTGCTTCAGTATACCTATCTGTGGAATGTTGAAGACTTTTAATGGTAGTAGGCAAATGGCAAAAAACGTAAGCACAAATAGCACTCTTTGAAACATGGGTGTTGAATGCATAACCTTTCAAGTTTCTGAACATTGTCAGTCCCACTTGGGAGAAATGACATAATCAAAGTTAATTACCTTTTGCATCTTAATGAAATATCAGTAAGGCTAATTGTTCAGGAGTTTGAATAAGTCTGCTGGATTTGGAAACCTGGAACACATCACTCCATATATAGATACTCTCTGTAGTTAAAAGCCTATATTCAGTCCTTAAAAATCTACATTTAAAAGATTGAGGAATTTGTTCCAGCATCAATACAATTAATTAAATACAATTTAGCAGTTTAGGTACCATGTGTAGCTGCCCTGAAGAGAGTACCTTTGCTGACAGCTGTACTGCTGTAGCCTTTAGTGTTCTACATGTTTGAAGATAGAAAAAATCTGACAACCTGTACCATAAAACATTTTATTACCACATTCCATTCCTGTATATGGATCATCAAATGAAAGGCAGAACAAATATGTATTTTTTTCTCCTTTCCTTGATACCTCCCTCCCTTTACTGGTATGTGTTTGACACTGTATGGGGAAAATACATGACAAAACTATTAAGTAGTATAATGGAGATAATTCTGTGTGATATATGACACAGAGGTTCTGGTTTGGGGGTCTGGACAATCCTAAGATGGAAATAGCATTCCATGTAGTGGGAGCAGTGTTGGCAAAACAGGCAAGACTGCATTCAGGAACTGGCTGTGTTGTGGAACGTAAAAGGGAGAGTATTGAGGTGGGAAGGGCAGAGAATAGGAACCTTGTTAAAAGGGTAGAAGCCAGACAGTGATGTAGTCAGATTTGAATTTTTGAAAGAAGCTGCAGTTTAAAGATTAGAGGCATTGTTGATGAATTAGAACATTAATGTGGTCATCCAGATGAAAGAATGAGTGGTAAATGGAACTGGTGTAGTTTTGGAGTGTAAGTCAGGATGTTTGAAGTAAATGTGGCAGCATTTAGCAAGTAATGGGTTATTGGAAGTATATCAAATCATGCTGCAATACAATCCCCCGGTCAGGTTTAGAACAAGATTGCTTTATTCTAAGTGTGGCATGAGAGGGAGAGATCTGTGTCCTATCTCACCTGCGACTGAGGATGACCAAGACACCATTCAGAACATTGCTGGTCACTGGCAGAGCGAGAGAGGGTAGTGGACAACATCTGGCTCAGTGCTTTCACCTGAAATGACACGATTACTTCTGATCATATTTTATGGAGGAGCAAGTCTTGGCAGCAGTGGTGAGGATGGAATGCTCATCGTTGAGCTGGGGAGTGATTCTTAAGGAGAGGTTAAGTCAATTGCATACTTCATCACAAAATCTCATGTTGTTCTCACATTATTTTAAACCAATCTGCCACTGAGTTTCTCTTGAGCTCCAGCTCATCTCCCTCCTTTTCTTTGTTATTGTATACAACTACTTCCACCCTTTGCAAAGTAACAATTTGTTTTTGCTCCCTTATTGTAACCAGTGGCACCTGAGCCTGTGGGAAATGGCTCATCTACTCCAACCACCTTTAACATGTTTCAGTTGTGTTTTTCCAAACAAAACCAGCCATCTTCCCAAGTCCCAGCAATTTTGATGTTTTATGACACGTACTTAGATAACCCTCATTTACTATTCCAGTCTCTGATTTTTGCTTTTATCAATCTTAACAATCCTGTGTTTCTTCTGTTTGTATTGTTTTGTACATAGACGAATTATTTTAATACTAATCACTCCTTGGAGCTACATTGGCTTCTAGAGCACTGCTGTCTGCTAGGGCTTTCTGTATTCCTATGAGGCCATTGCATTTCAGTTTTCCTTAAATATTACTTACTAGGTTCTTCAGTCCACATATCTTCTCACTATGTAATTTTTTGAGGTCATCTCATGCATGTTTAAGGTTTGTATACTTTGATGTCTTAATCTGTACAGCCCAGTCCATGTCTGTTTTAGACCTATGTCCAACCACCTGCTGGACACCTCAGGTACCTTAGACACAGTGTATCTAAAGCTGACCTCATCCTCCTCCCTAGTTTTCCTTGTCTTAATGTCATCCCATTTACTCATCCTTTCAAGCTGGAAATTAGCTTTACTTAGTATGAATGTGGAGGCAGAATAAGACGGAGAACAAGGACTCTTGCCAGATGACACAGGAGTTTGAATCTTGGCTGACTTGTATTAATTATTTACCCTCAGTTTCCTTGTCTATAACATGAGGGGAAATTATTAGCTATCTCCTAGGGGGAAAATTGTTAACTACCTCATAGTTAATGTGAGGATTAAGAATATGCAAATCAGGGCAGGGGATTTAGCTCAGTGGTGCCACTGCCTGCCTCGCAAGTGCAAGGTCCTGAGTTCCATCCCTGGTACCAAAAAAAAAAAAAAAAAAAAAAAAGAACATGTAAATCACTTAAAACTACCTGTTGTGTACTAAGTGCCATGTAATTGTTAACTCTTACTAGCTTTCTGTCCATTTTATTTACCAAATATCTTTCAGCCCCACTTGTACTATTCAACTCATTTCCTCCTTATATATTGACTGGACTGCTGCAGATGCCTAATGGTTATTTCTGTGTTTATTCATTCTGCCAACTAATTTGTTACATACTTGACTGGGTGCTGCTCTGGCAACAAAAACAGGTGAGAGACGGTACTTGGTATCAAGAAGCTTGCTGATTACCATGAAAAGATTGACACGAGGAAGCACCTAAAGTTCTACTCTACAAAAAATACACAATTCATAGAAAACATGAACTATTGAGAAAAGTTACACAGTGTGATAGAAAAATAGTTAATATTTTAAAGAATTATTACAGTGAAAGATACATTTTCACTAAACCTCAAAATACTGCCTCTTCAAACACATGTATCCCATCCTTGCCACTCTGTGAAGTAGTCATGGAAGTCTTTTGTGTCTTGTTGCACTGTTGTGGCTGCTTCCACATCCTGAATCAATTCAAAATGTTTCATCTTTCATGTGCATTTTGACTGGGGAAGACCAAGAAGTTGACTGGTTTGAAATCCAGTGAACGAACTGGATAAGGGCACACTGTGTTTTCAATAGCCTGCCTTCTGGTTGAATAGCACTTGGTAACAGAGGTAGCAGAATTCATATTTCTTAAAGTGGCAAGAATGGTGAGGTGTGTTAGAAGCAAGGCGGAATATTTTGAGGAAGATTAATGACAAGTCACTAAAATTTTTAAAAAATGTAAGCATTTTATAGTTTTTTGATCAGCTTGTATTCCTTAGAAAGATGGCATTCAGATAACTATGTATCTATCACAATCTCCTGGAGGGCTTAAAATACATTTCTAGACCCTATCCCCAGGGTTCTAGTTTAGTGCGTTAAAGGGGGAATCAGTAATTCACATTTTCTAGTGAGTTATAGGTCCTGATGCTGCCTACCAAGACCACACTTGGAAAGCCACTGCATTTAGGCACCTAGAAAGCTTTCACTCCTAAATTCTCCTAAGCAAATACAAATACAGTGGTCCTGACCATTTTACCTCTGCACTGCATCCTTCAATGGCTCCCTTTTAACCACAGGATAAGTAAAAGCCGTACATCTTGTTACTATCTGCTTCTCCAACCTCAGCATTTGCCACACCTAGGATTGACCTACATCCTCTGGCAACTATAAAATAGGTCCCTCAGTCACTATGCAATGTTTTTGGCCTTCGTACCTTTGCTCAAGTTTAAGGTATACCTTTCACCTAGAATGCCTGGTCTTGCCTTCCTTTTACTATCCTGGCTGCTGTTTATCTTGTAGGCTGAGTCAAGGAGTGAAGGAAGACTTGCCTGCTGTTGAGTGATGGAATAATTTGAGGGCCAACTTCCGTGTTTGGAGTCTGACCTTATTCCCAAGCAAATAATGCAGTCAAATTTATTTTAAAAGCCTTCTGTTAATGTTACCCTGCTTTCTCCTTCAGAATTTTTTTAGAATTTTTGAAATTCTTGGGCCTTCCCTCTTC